TTTTGAGTTCTTTGTCTACCTACTCGCAAATCACCTGTATATGGGGTCGTAGTTGTAGGGGATGTAGATGCACGAACGTTAGTGTCGCATATACCCATGTTCTTCGGCAATTTGTTGATATTATATAAGAATGGACAAATTTATCCATTTGCAACCAAATTTCTTGACGAGTAAACTACAATTTTGGTCCCTATGAACAATGTCCGAAAACTAAAATACCATAAAATTATTACTACAGTTTGCGTTTTGCTACAAAAGTGGTCCCTTTGATTAACATTATCAGGGGCATTTTCGTCTTTTTACCCTCATTATCTCCATTAGACTCCACTGCACCTGTACCTATTATTAGACATAGTAGAAGGGTGGATATACTAGACAAGAACATATATCATCAGCCAGGGTTTGGATGAAACTGTTGTACGATTCTTGATGAAATAAACGATGAATTTAACCGGGCCTAAATGTATAAGTAAATAATTCTTGATGAAATAAACTAGGAATTTAGTTTGGAAAAATCGAGCCTAAATGTGTGACTGATAGTCTGATTCTGATATGATGTTATGCAGGTTCGTAGATTATGTGAACGTTACGGTGAGCAGCCTGCACCAGATTCACTGCACCAAGCAAAGAAAGGTGAAGGTTGAGTTGGACCTAACCACCATTCCGGCATTCTCGGTGGTGTTGTTTGTTCTATGGTTGGTGTTAAAGCCAAGACGACCCAAGGCTAAGATTAACTGAGTTTTATCAGGTTACCGGATTTCATTACTGAGAACATTCATAAGAGAAATAGGTGGAGAAGTAGACAACTCTAGATCATAATTTTGTTACTAAAATCAATTCAAGGAATTTTTGTTTTTGGTTATGTTTAGCATTCTCCCATACTTTATACCAATTACTTACCAGAAAACTGTGTCTCCATTTCTTTAAATATATTTGCAAGGCTTTTTCCAACATATCTTTGTTATTACTTTGAAAACACAGTATACGCTCAGTGGTGGTTTGTCGAGGGCAGCAAAGCCGTTAGATGTGATTTTAGCTGAATTCTACCATATCGAGGGACTTTTTATGTTTTTCCATTGATTTCAAAGGACTTTTTTTTGGTTGATTTGTAGAGTTTTTCGGTTTCTTGGTTGATTTTCAAGGACTTTTTCCTGGTTTTTTGATTGATGTTTCTCGTTATTTATAACCCCTCTTAAAGTTTAGAAGATGCCCAAATTTTTTTAATTGCAAAATAAGTTTGAGAAAGTTTCATAGGTCCGTCCCCAATACAATCTATGCCCGTGTCCTCCAAACAGTATAGATCTTCACCCACCAATATGTCCTCTTATTTTTTGAGAAATAAAATTTATTTATTTGATCATTGTAATTCTGTTTCAACATTAATTACGTAACATCTGTTAACCGGTTTTTTAACTGGTTATTGCACATCATAGTCAAAAACTGTTATCATGTAGCAAAACCAATCCATACTAAAATGTGTAATCGAGATTTGGGAGTCCTCAAAGCCACGTCTAAATTTAATTGGTTTGTTGATCCCAATAAAAAACATATGATATTTTTTAAATACAACCCTTTGTATACGATCCAAATTTGACCAATAAGGAAATAATTTTTTTTTATTTTTCAATAACCAAAAAGGTTTTGAATGTATAATTTTGGATGATTATTAATTTTCTTAATATTACTTGGAATAAATATGGAAACAATTATTTTTTATTTTAATATTTATTAATTCTTTTTTTTTCATTTTTTCATGTCATCGTCTTCATCAAAACTTGCCGACTTTCCATCACCATATCATGTTGATGATGAAACAACACTTACCATCTCCAAAACTCCAACTCAGTTTAGATTCATCATAAACAAAAGCGGATCTTTTTTTGCACATAACTTACAATGTTTCAGTAAACAATCTTTATTCATTATTTTTTTGTAGTTTGTATGCTTGTTTTACTGGATGCATATTTTATGAACAAAATCTGGTCATGAAACCTATTTCATTTAATATGTTCATGAACTCCGGTTTGTATGAAATTTGGTCCTTGAAAAGATTGAAAACTTTAACTTCTGAATCAAAGTCATGACATGATTGAACGTCGTTTACGTTTGGTGATTCATTACAATGCCCCGTTCTATGAAACTGTAAATCTTCTCGATGGCGATATTCTTGTTGTCACCGACAGGATTCCGTGCCATGAATCCATAAAAAAATTGGTCGTTTAAAAAAAGATCGCTTACATAAATTTCGTTAATCGATTGAGACGGATCCATGGCAACCAATTAAACCGATGATGAAAACGATTATTTGGAAAAGTCGTATTTGATAAAGATGACCCATTTATAAGTTATAACGGGTCCCTCTTTAATTAATAAAAAAAGTGATGATTTAAGAAGTATAAAAATACAAAATTTAAGTAAATAATAAACTTTTTATATGACTGACACTGTAGACTGTAGTTAATTATGATATCAAAAACATAAAATTAACTCATTTACTTGATAAATGATAATGATATTAAAAAGGCATTAAATTATAGTTAGATGATCAATCAATAAATATATGTAAAACCATTGTATTGTAATTTAACATAAATCGATTAGTGGTATTCTGGGTGGGTTATCGTGAAAATTTACGTGCATATAAATATATACGTACATACTACTTGTAATGTCGGAGTTTGGATGATAATTTTAATCCAAGAATACCAGAAAGTTAAATATATTCTTTGTTGAGTAAAATTAACGAATTATTTGTATCATTTTCATGTTGTTGGGTTCTGGTGAGAAAGAGAGTCAATATAAGAAGATCTACACCCTTGGTTGTACATTAGGATGAGATGCACCGAGATGCATTAGATCAATCCCCGTATCAAACAAGTTTCATGGGTGAGTTTTAAATTAAAGGTGGTCAATGTCCGGATCCCTTCTTACGCTTCTTCTTTCGCCTCATGCTCTAAGCGTTTATTTTGTATGTTATCTTATAGGGAATAATAAATATAAGATAGCCTTCAAAAATGTTACGGATGTTTGGTTCATTAGGGAATGAAAATGAAAATAGAAATGCAGAAGAACAGGAATAGTAATAAGCAACTCACTGATATTGTTGGTTATATTAATATAATTCATGTTGTTTATATAACTTTTTTAATACACATATATTTCTCCAACTTGGTAATGATCTAGAATCTTATCTATGTAAGAACAATGCAAGGACTAAGAGTCTTACCCGGTAATGTTAGTGATAGTATTGAATCTTATCGGTATTTCGATAAATGCTTACCGGGTAAATGTTTGAGTAAACGGACCCTACGAATGACATTTTATGATGGGTTTTCCATTATTTACGAAAACATAGGAGCTGTTTGGTTGGTTTTCTTAAGTCCTGTATGGATAAAAATGTTTGTGTGAATTAATGTGTCTATATAGATTGTGAATGTTTTTGTTGGGGAGGGTTTTTTTTTATAAATGGAAGAAGTGTGGTCTTAATTGGGAGGGTCATATTTGGAAAAAAAAAACTTGTCTTTCTGCATAAAGTTTGCCCCTAGAAGTTTAGTGAATAAACCACTTTCTATATCATTAACCTACTTCCAAACAATTATATAGCTGACTGAATGAGCTGTGAGTCTCGTTAAGCTCACTAAGCTGCTAACAAACAAATACAAAAATAAGGATAAGCTAGGAGACCTATAGTCAATTAGAGATGAACCAAAAAAATCCAAGAATTAAATCTGTATCGAAGATAGAACTGAAGTGGAAGGATGATAAGACCTGTTTGGTCTTTGGGCCTGAATCAATCCCATTTTGCGTACCAATAACCGGTTAAGGATTTTCGTGTATATCATCGTGCTTCGAGTGCCTTCAGTGTATCGTCGACGCAATCGTTATAGTTATCGCCTTTGAGACGTGTTGGTTTGTGATAAGTGTTAATTTATTAACCTTATTACATCATTTTCTTAACCATTTTTCTTTGTTTTATTTGCCCGTTAGTGTCTTAATTGAGTCTTTTTATGTCTTTTTCATATATTAGTAGTTATATAGTATATCTAATGTTAATCCCCTATTTATGCAGGTTTTTGATGATTTTTGGGCCCGATCATGCAGCAGTCCTGTAGGACCAGGAGTGGCAAGGTTCTATAGCACCTGTCCGAGAGCTGAAAATCTATCTGGGCCGTGAAGTAGTGGGCTACTCCATAGTAGATGCGTGGTCAACGACCTTGGGCCCGGTCAAAGCCCAGTTTTGAAGAGACTTTTGTTTTCTTAGTTGGCTCCCACTAAGAAAACTTCCTTAGCCTATAAATAGAAGGCTTAAGGCTTAATTTTACCTTACCATTTAACCATTTCACAAACCAATTCACCAAGTTACATGTTTTCTTCCATTTGATACTTATGATCTTTGTGTTAGTCATTCTCTAGATTATTGCTTTCGGTTTCAAGCTTTCCGTTTTCTTGTTTCCAATCAAGACCCGACTTTCGTTAAGTGAAGTTGTGATTACGTTTTCAAGTTTAATTCTAATACTCGTATTTAATCTTCATCTCATTTTTGTTTTTATTTCCAAGTTACGTTACGTTTTCTTATTTTTGTTACGAGTTACGAGTTAGTCGATCGTTGTTGCTTTACATTGGATCTCATCCTTTGTGGCTCACGACTAATTTACGTAGACTAAATAATATGTTTTTACGAGTTTGCAAGTAACCTTTTCGGTCTTTGTAACGAAACTTGTGTTGCAAGTTTTGTTACTTGACTTGCAAGTTTTCTTCAAATTCAAACTCTATTTCCAAGGTTTTTATTAGTCAATTCTCATCTCATCAAGTACTTTTCTTTCATCATTAATAGATTAATATTAATTAATATTATTTAGTTATTAATAATTTACATTTCTGTCATTTAATTTCCAGTACTTTACTTTCAGTCATTTATATTTCAGTCATTTAATTTCCAGTACTTTAAATTCCAGTATTTTCATTTTCTGTAATTTACTTTCTGCAATTTACTTTTTCGTCTCAGTTATTTATTTTTCAGT